TATTTAGGAATTGGAGTTGAAATCGATAATAATAAAGCATTTGAATATTATTTGAAGTCAGCTGAGGCTGGTAATTCTATAGGAATTTTTAAAACTGCCATTTGCTGCGTTTACGGAATTAGTGTGAAACGGGATTATTTTAAATTCAATGAGTGGCTTGAAAAGTAAGTTATTATTTATACTTAATAATATTATATATTTGAATTGTTTAGAGTTTAAATCAGAAATAATTTTTTTAGGAAGTATAAATATCAATTATATTACATATAATAATATGATTATTTATTCTAAATAATACGATTTTATTCATTTTGATCAAGTCCGTAAGTATAAAACATTCATTAATCTAAGTATTGAAAATAAACTATTCAAGCTTATAAATATTTACTATTTCATTTATAATATATTGCAGTTAGTAAGTATAAAGAACATTAATCTAAGTATTTAAATAAGATTTTCCAAGTTCATGCATATTTACTATTTAATTTCATTTAACATATTGCAGTTAGTGAGTATAAAATACATTTATTAATCTAAGTACTGTATTCAAAATAAGTTATTAGATTCATTAACATTTACCGTTTAATTTTATTTCAGCCAGTAAGTATAAAGAACATTTATTAATCTAAGTACGTATTTATTCAAGTTTATGAATATTCATTATTTGATTTATTTTTATTTATGTTAACATAGTTCGTAAGTATAAAGAACATTTATCAATATAAGCATCTAAATAAGATATTTAACTCCATAAATATTTACTATTTAATTTCATTTAACATATTGCAGTTAGTAAGTATAAAGAACATTTATTAATCTAAGTATTTAAAATAAATGATTTAATATTTAATTTTATTTTAGTTTGTAAGTATAAAGAACATTTATTAATATAAGTGCTTAAAAATAAGCTATTCAAGTTTATAAATGTTTACTATTTGATTTTATTTAACATACTGCAGCTCGTAAGTTTAAAAACTTTTATTAATTTAAAAATAATATTAAAATAAGTTATTAGATTCATGAGCATTTATCTAAGTATTTAAAATAAGCTATTTAATATTTACTATTTAACTTTATTTTAGTCAGTGAGCATAAAAAACATTTACAGTATTGATCCAAGTATTTAAAAATAAACTATTTAAGTTCATAAATATTTACTAAATTTTATTTAACATATTGTAGTTAGTAAGTATCAAGAATAGTTATTAATTATTAGTCTAAGTATAAATATAAGTTATTCAAGTTCATGAATATTTACTATTTGATTTCATTTAACATACTGTAGTTAGTGAGTATAAAGAACGATTATTAATCTAAGTATTTACAATGAGTTATTCAAGTTCATAAATATTTGCTATTTGATTTTATTTAATATACTGTAGTTAGTAAGTATAAAGAACAATCATTAATATAAGTATTTAAAATAAATTATCATATTTATTGGCTTATTTATGCTAATATAGTTAGTAAGTATAAAAAACATTCATTAATCTAAATATTTAAAAATAAGCAATTTAAGTTCATGAATATTTACTATTTGATGTCATTTAAAATACTGTAGTTAGTGAGTATAAAGAACATTCATTAATCTAAATATTTAATAATAAGCTATTCAAGTTCATAAATATTTACTACTTTATTTATGCTAATATAGTCCGTAAGTATAAAAAACATTCATTAATCTAAATATTTAAAATAAGCTATTCAAGTTCATAAATATTTACTACTTTATTTATGCTAATGTAGTTCGTAAGTATAAAAAACATTCATTAACCTAAATATTTAATATAATATATTCAAGTTCATAAATATTTAATATTTTATTTATGCTAATGTAGTGAGTAAGTATAAAGAACATTCATTAATCTAAATATTTAAAATAAGTTATTCAAGTTCATAAATATTTACTACTTTATTTATGCTAATGTAGTGAGTAAGTATAAAAAACATTCATTGATCTAAATATTTAAAATAAGCTATTCAAGTTCATAAATATTTACTATTTTATTTATGCTAATGTAGTGAGTAAGTATAAAAAACATTCATTAACCTAAATATTTAATATAAGATATTCAAGTTCATAAATATTTACTATTTTATTTATGCTAATGTAGTGAGTAAGTATAAAGAACATTCATTAATCTAAATATTTAAAATAAGTTATTCAAGTTCATAAATATTTAATATTTAATTTCATTTAACATATTGCAGTTAGTGAGTATAAAGAACATTTATTAATCTAAGTATTTAAATAAGCTACTCAAGTTCATGAATATTACTATTTAATTACATTTAGCAAGTAAGTACAAAGGACATTTATTAATCTAAGTATTTAAAATAAATTTCCAGGTTCATGAATATTTACTATTCAATTTTAATCTCATTCAACATACTGCAGTTAGTGAGTGTAAAAAACATTTATTAATTTAAATATTTATAACAAGCAATTAAAGTTCATGAATTTTTTACTATTTATTTGCATTAATTAGTCGGTGAGAATAAATTTATTGCATTTAAATTTAAAAGTTGCATAATAAAGTAAAATAACTAATATCACGCAATCGATAACTACAGAGATTCAAGTAAAGGAAAATGTGCACATTGTGATGAATATAACACGAAAAAAGCGTGGTGTCAAACATGTGACCCAGATATAGAAACTCAAGGATGGACAAGTGGAAATAAAGATATTGATAATTGCATTAAAGCGTTCCAACTTAGAACTTATGATTATGACCGTATGATTGAGTGGATTCCATATGATAGATTAATTAATATAGAAGGAATAGGTAAAGGAGGATTTGGATCTGTATTTTCTGCAATCTGGTTGGATGGCACACGAAAGATCAAAGAAATTAAGAAAACTAATGTCAGTGACGATAAAGACAATAATTTCTATGAGAAAGGTCGTGAACCATCTAGCATAGTTGCACTTAAAACCTTGTCTGGGTCTAAGGAAAATCCTCAAGATTTTTTAAAAGAAGTAAGTTATTTATTTGTTGTGCGGCTTATTAAACGTATATTGAACTGATTATACATATTTGTACAGTTTAACAATCATATGAAATGTACACTTAGGGGTAGCGATCTTAAAATATATGGATTGACACAAAATAAAGAAACAAATGAATACTTTATGGTATTTCAATACGCAGATAATGGAAGTCTTTGCAAGTTTTTAAGAAAAAACTTCTGTGATCTTATCTGGGAAACTAAATTAAAACTACTTAAAGATATTTCAGGCGATTTAAGTTATATTCATGGTGCAGGATATATTCATGCAGACTTTCACAGTGGTAATATTTTGCAACATAAAGGTATTAGTAAATATATGCAATCTTACATCTCAGATCTAGGATTGTCTAAAAATTATAACGAAAACGATTCAGAAGGTGGTATTTATGGTGTTATGCCTTATGTCGCTCCTGAGATTTTATTAGGTCAAAAGTTTACGCCAGCTGCAGACATCTATGGCCTCGGAGTCATCATGTCTGAAATGTCAACTGGACAAAGACCTTTTGATGGTTATGAATTTAATATTGGTCTTGCAATAAAAATTTGTCAAGGATTGCGACCAGAATTTGCACCTGGGACTCCGAATTGCTATATTGAATTTGCTAAACAATGCATGGATTCTGATCCACAAAAACGGCCTACTGCTAGTAATGTTTGTTATAGAATTGCTGATTGGCAGAAAGGCATAGAAAGTTCAGATGATGCAAATGAAATTAAAATGCAATTTTTAGATGCAGATAAAATAGCGAAAGAATTACCAATTGTCACACCAAAACATCCCGACTTTATGTATACTAGCAAAATTATCAACACACAAAAAATATCAGATGCAATTAAAGGTACATATTTACTTTATAAATTTATATTATTTTACTATTTTAAGCTAATTATGCTCAATTAAAAAGCTTTGGCAAGTCAATCTATTGCCTTTGTCGAAGTTCCTGTTGATTATTAAACTTACTGTGCTTATATTAAAAATTTATACACACTTTATATTGCACTTAGATTAGTTGCTTTAAGAATATAAATTGATATTATTAAAAAATATTATTAAAAAATATATATAGTTTAGTTACGAAATATAAATTGAAATACAAAGTGGGTTCGGAATTTTTATATAAAACCAGCATTTGGGGGTTGATTATATTATAACCTTAATTTAACTAGAAATTTAAATTCCGTTCCTACTTACAACTTATATATTTATTTTAAACCTTTAAAGGTTATTTAAATTCTTTGTAATATTTAAAAGTTTATAAATTTAATGGTTTCGACTTAAACCAGTTTTCTCCATTGCATTGGTTTGCTCATTAATAAAATTAAATTTAACAGTACAATAACAATTAAAAATACATTATGGATTTTAAGTACAAAATATATGTTAAACTTTGTAAGAGTAACATCTATAATAATATTATTGATTTCTATATTTCACGGTCTAAAATACCCTTTGTAAGAATATTTGTCACCATTTAGTTGTGTATTTAATTATGTATTTGTAAATGTAGCATAAAATATATAAATACAAAGCTTGTCTCATTAAAAGATTAAAGATGCCCCAGTATTAAAAAGTAAACATTATATTTTAGACTGTGAAATACCTTCCGATTATTGATGATTAGGATTATATGTTATAGATATGTAAAAATTGTTTTATGATTTGTAACTAATTCGTTTTGAAAATTTGCAAATATCAGATAAATCTGGATAACCTTTTAATTTTAATTTATAACTTAGCCCGAAAACATCATAAAGTTTAAAATTTTAAATTTCAGCTGTTATATTCTTTTATAAGATTGCCTGGTTATATTTTTATATTTTTAAGCACATTAATAAACAGTACCATATTATAGAGAAGTTAGATTCGTAAATGAAATATTAAAACTTTTTATAAAAAACAATTTTTTTTAATTTCACATTATATTCCCTTTTCTTTAAACAATTAAGCAATAATAAATTTGTAACGTCATTGTTAATAGTACTAGATGACCAAGAAAGGCATTTGTGCATTGATGTTATCTATATCATTGCCAACGTTATAATTTTAACATTAGAATGCGTGAATTTATTGAATTACATTTAATAACGATATTTATATGTACCTTTAATAGTGTTAATGTTAGCAATGGTAATAAAACGATAGGAGCAGTTGGAATAGTAAAACTTAATCTTCATTTAGTACTCCTAAAAAAGGTAATTCAACTAAGTATTCCTTCATAAATTCCTTTATTAATATACATTACCTGTAGATAATTAATTATTATAAACATATTCTATTACAATTGCGGTGGCATATTTGATATACCATATTTTGTTTTAAGTACATATGTAGTTTTTGTCAGACCCACCGATAGAGGTAAAATAATCTGAGTTTCTTATATAAAACACTGGATATAAATGTTAAGATCTTTTGCAATATTATGCTTAGAAATGGATCATGATCTATATAATAAAATAAATTATAATATGGCATTTAGGTTGACCCATTCAAAGTGCTAAGCAGACAATGAACTTTGAAACTGGTGAGTTGATAAATTTATATGCAGGCACTTGATCTTGTTAAAAGCCTACAGCATTCTTACAATAAAATAAATAGCTTAAAAATTTAATTAAATTTATACTAGGCCAAAAATTGGATACAATTAGATACTGTCAAAAGATTGGTTAAGATAACTCGTCAGAGGCGTGACTATAGGTTTTGTAATATATTTATTATAGTGATTCTTACCCGCACATAAGAGTCATAACCAACCACTCCCGATGTTATGCCTTTTAAATATTGTCTTAGAAGTATGATTAAAAGAGACTTTGATCCTTCTTATTGTTTTCATTTAGAATTTCAATACACTGCCATATGTACCTTGCATTGAGAATTTTTTTTTTTTTTTTTTAAAGAGAGGTCTATCTTCTATCTCTTTATTAATTAGTCAAATTACATATATTATATACATGTTGAAGAAACTAAACTAAAGGTGATGAAAGTAAGAGTTACTTTACTCTTGACCTATTCTTTGCTAGAATGGTTAGTAAACCTCTAGTCTTTGATAAGGTGATGAAGAGAAGATTGTCCATTAGTAATATAATATTGTATTTTTTCATTTAGTACTATAGATGCAGACTTATGACATCATCCAGTTATGTCCTATATAAAAAATCAGTTTATAAAATAAGACACAATTAACCTGTAACTAATGACATAAATAAGTCTGCACCTATATTTAGTACTGATATTAGGATTGGTTTAGTTTTAGCTAATATTGAGGTTGTAACAGTAATAGGGTTAAAAAAACTGAATTGTGTTATACTGTTCTAGAAGTGAGTCAAAGCTCTTTGTATATCATAGTAATAATGTTGTAATGTATGAGAGGAGCATATTTATTTTTTGTTTGTTGTTTTCAAAAGGCATTAGTGTCTCAATAGTTATTAGTCCTAATGGCATATGCTTGTTAATATGGTTTGAGACAAAGGCTTGAGACAAAGGCTTGAGTAAAACTGTATGTATCATAACATGATATTTTCAAATCATTCAAAGTTTTCTATATTACATCTTTTATTAAGTTTGTAAGACATATATAGTTTCAAAAGCAAGTTAAAAGGTGTATTATGTCTTCTAATGCATTATAGCACTTTGAACAAAGATAGTTTAAATATTTAATAGTGTTTCTCTAATGAAATAGAAGATAAGTAAATAGCTCTTCTAATAGTAATTTTATTTTAAAGTTTTTTAATACTAAAGAGAATAAGTCAGTTACTAGGACTAGAGGCTTTTCTCCATATGATATATATTGCAAAGTTAACATTAGTTGATCTTGTTTTGTGAAGTATACCAGGATGAGATTTACTGGTAGTTAAACCAAGTTATTCTATTTGTAATACAGTAAGTTTGTTTTAAAGTAGTTTTTAGTAAATATATATAAGAATTGCCAAGGAGTTTTAGCATAAAGCAATTATATAAAAACTTTTGTAATATAGAATCTAATAGAAAGATATTGTATTGAGCTTGTAGAATTTGAGTTTTTTGTCAAATATGATCATTAGGGTTTAGTTATATGTTATTGCTTTTAGTATTAGAAAAAAATAGATATATTGCTATTTATCTAAGCTAGGATAATTATATGATTATATCAATTGTATAAAAATGATGATGTTTACAAGCAAGGAGTTGTTGGTAACTATTTTTACATTAGTACTTGAGTTCATTGTAATAAGTACAAAAATTAGCAAGATTAATAATATATTTAAATGAAAAGGCCAGCAGTTGGTAAAACAGCTAAATAAGGTATTAAGATGTTGAAAACAACAACTTGCAATTATATGAGAGTTGTTTTCTATATTATATTGACCACTTGTTATTTATAATGTTATTGTTTTTTATTAAAGTTATCTTTTGTTATTGTATTCCAAAGTGGTATTGGAGGGTTATTGAATGAGCATAAAGGTTTAGCTAAGACAGTATATGTTTTCTGTTTTGGGAATTAATTTGTTGCTAGTAGATTTGAAGTTAATGCTTTTTTAAAATCATCAAAATTAATATAAATTCTTTTTTTATAGTCTATTTGAAGATTATAAATTAGTTTTGTAGTATTGAAATAACAATATTTAGAAATATATGACTTATTTTTTAAAATGCATACTTGGCAGGCTGTTAGCATATTATCTGAATATAAAATATAATATTAGATTTTGAAATATTTTTTAAATAGATTGTAGATTTTTCTACAAATTAAGTTTTTTGTAATTATTCAGTTTTTTTGTTAGGTGTCCAATTGGTTAGAATGCATGGGTTTGATTTTAAAAATGTTAAATATGGGTTTGCAGAGGCAGTTATTAGGTCTTGCATTATAGAAAACCAACAAAAATATTGGTTTTTAGATATTTTTTTTAATGTTATGATAGAAGTTATTTCATGTTAGCAATTCTGTATTCATTAAGTTTAGAAATTGTTTGTTACTTGTAATATTGTAATTGTTTAGTTTTTTTTTAAGATAAGAGAACCTAGAATGATTTTCAAGAAGTTGATTTATAGATGTTCTAATAAATTTTTTTGGATATGGTTAGTCATTACTATTACATGTGGTTTGCAGTTCTAATATGTGTAATGCTATTATCATCTGGCAGGTTTGTATATTTATTTGTAATAATAGAAATACTGGACATTGTTTTAAAATTAAGATATTCATAAGTGCTGCATCCTGTAGTTGTTGTAATCATAGTTTTAGAAAAGAAGTATCAAAATTGGAATGGTTTAGGTTTTTCTGAATTGTTGTAACTAATGCTGATGTTTGGGTTTATATTAGATCTACAAATGCATATATGTCTGGATTGAATAGAAAAGAATTTGGAATTTCTCATACTAGTTTTGCTTTGTGTTTAATTAGTTAAGTGCAGGCTCTGTTGAGTAAGCTTAATTGTAAAGAAGAAAGGAATAAAAAATATAGCCAATAAAGAAAACAAGAAGTAATAACACTATTTATAATATAGATTGCTTGTTTTTCTGTTATGTTAGCAAATTGTAAGTTTTGTTAGATTAACTTTAACTTTAGCTATTATTTTTTTTTGTATTAGTATTGGTTTTTTGTTAGTCAAGAACCATGTTCTAAAATATTTAAAAAATGCTTTGTTGTTAATTACTATTAGTTTTTCTTTATCAAAAAGTATTGCATTGTCTAGGTCTAAAGAGTTTGTAATTAAAGTGAACTTTGAAGGATTAACTTTTATATTAATGAGTTTATAAAATGAGAAGGCAGTATATAGAATGTTGGTAACAAAAGTTTTGTTTAGTGTAATCTATAAAGAGTTATCTATATAGGCCATTACAGAAGTATATATTTTTTTTGTATTTGGAGAAGAAATTCTACTGAGGTATTCTTGCTGTTCTTTAAATATTCTTAATATTAATAAGTCATAATATATTTTTAAAGAAGAAGAGAGATTGTTTCTTCTTGGTTAATATTGTTTTCTACTAGATATAATGTAGTTAGATCTAAAGTTGTAATTACTCTATTGGTTTGATAAGAGAATAAATATACTAGTAGATTTATAGCCTTGTTAGGAATATATATTCTTTTAAGTGCTTTGCATAAAGTAGGTATATGAATTGAATCAAAGGCCTTTAACATGTCTTAAAAAAGAATCCAAATTTCTTTTTTATTTATGACTGCATTTTTTAGAATTTGTGTAAGTTGTAAGATTGGTTATAATATAGATTGATGAGAAAAGGCTGCAAAGTTGTAAGAAGATAGCATTTGGTTATGTATTAAGATGTTTGTTAGTCAGTTTGTTAGAATTTTTGTAAAGATTTTTCTAGTATGATCAATTAATATAATAGGATGAGTAAAGTTAAGTTTATATTGTAGATTTGTTTCTTTAAAATTGGCTAGATATTGTTATTTAGCTATTGATCAATAATGATTTCTTGTATTAGGCAGTTATTAAATATAACTAGAAGATAAATAAGAGCTAATGAGAATAAAATATTAAAAAACTTCATTTGCAATTCCTAATGGTTTAGTTGTTTTCTTTTTGAGTGCTACTTTTATCATTTGTTCAAGCTTTGTCATAGTGATAAGACTAAGAAGATTATTATAAATATTGTTTTTAATATTGTTAAGTAGAAGATATGTTGTTTCCTATTCATTTAGTTGTTCTTATTGAAGGAATTGTTTTTTGTCCAGTTTTTAAAGTGTAAATGTATAGCTTCTTTGATTTCATTTTTGTTAGTAACTATTTTGTCTAGTGAAATAATTTTTTCAAAGTTACCTGATTCTGCTCTTCTTTTTAAAATGCTATTCAATATTTAACTTGTATTATTTTTAAAGTCTAAATATCTTCAGTTTGTAAAAATTTAATTTATTTACTTTGTTCTTACTTTTTTTCAAAGTTACATGCTTGTCAAATTGTATGTTTGTGCTCTTTTATTAATATTATTATGTCAGAAACTGAATAGTTTAGTTGCATTTGTGTAATTAGTAGAATATCAATTTCTGCCAGAGTTGCAGCTCTGGACAAATGATGGTTAGCTTTTGTTAGGCTATTTAGTAGATTATTAGAAAGATAATATAAACATTTGTTAATATGTTTTAATGCTAAATATAGTTTGGTTGCTTTTAAAGAAAGTGTGAAAAAAGATTTTGGAGCTATAAATATATATAAAATATGTTTGTTCATTGTTTCTTTAACTTTTGTAGACTAAAGGTTCTAGGTTCTGTTTATCTCATTTTTGCTCATGTCTATTGAAAAAATAATTTGTATGTTGAAAAAAGTGTTTATTGAGTCTTTGAAGTTATTCTATGTCTCCTGTGTCATTTTTTTATATAATATATTTTTCTTTTTTTCTTTTTGTTTCTAGGATTTTTTATAAATTAAAGTTGGTATACCAAGTTGTATATAGAATACTGTGACTACTATCTGAGATATAAGAAGCATCAATGAGCAAAAAAGATTCAAATGCTAGTAGAATATCTAAAGAAATCTAGATATCATCTATTTGGCTTGTATTAGTTGAACTATACCAAGTAGATGTTTGAATATTATAGAAGATAAGAAGACTTGTTAAATTAGCAGCATTCATATTAGTAAAGATTGGAAAGTATTTGTCTCTGTATTAGTTGGCATTGAAATTATCTAGTATAATTAGGTGCCAGTTTTTGGCTTTAACTTCTGTGATCCAAGTAAGTATTTGAGATTAGGTACTTTTAAGAAGAGATAGATGGTTTAAAGAAATATAGATTAAGATGATGCAAGTTTCATTGTTGTTTGGAAAAAAAAGTCAATGCAGATTGCAGTTCCTGAAAGAGTATTAATTTTGTGAATATATAGTTGTAGTTAATTACAAAGCATTATTGCAGTTCTCAAACTGGTTTTACATTAGTTTGGTTTATATAATATAAAGTTTGAAGTATAAATTTTGTATAAGGGATTAGTTAGTAATCTTGTTGTTGATTCTTTTAGTTTAGTTTTAGTAATTGAAATTATGTGCAAATTAGATTTAATACAGTATTTAATCCAGTTTGTATTTTTAATATGTTATTAATTTATCTAATATTGTAAGTGGCTATATTAATTTTTTTATTTATATTAAATTCTAATAGATTTGGTTTATTTAAATATTCTTCTGATTGTAAGATAATTATAGCAATCTCATTGTTATTGATAGATGTATTTAGGTTGTGTTTCATTATTAAGAAGAAAATAGTTTAGAAATATCCCAGTTAGGAGCTAGAAGTAGTAGCAATAAAAGAATCTTATTTGAAATAGATTTGATAATAAAGTATTGGCAAAGGAAACCAAAAGTTTTGTTGATTTCTGTTTGTTCTTTTATAAGAATTATCAAATATGTTGCATCTATATTTTTTGTTTTTAAATATTCCATAATTGCTAATAGAGTATTAGAAATAGTTGATTTATTAGGTTATTGTTTAGTATTGGATGTTGTATCTTTTTTATTAGTTTTATCAGTAGGTTTATTTATCTGTATCCAGGTTTCTGGAATTTGATAAAAGTAATAATTTTTCCTGAGCATTCTCACTGTATCTACTAGTTATTTTCTTGAAATTATAAAAATAGTAATGTTATAGTCATTAATAAGTTGTAAGTTATTAGATAGCTAGAGTTTATCTATTGGGTTTGCTATCATAATGTTTGGTGAAAATGGGAATAAGAATTTGTAAACAGAGGAGATCTGTTCAACAAAGCATTTTACAGTTGTATCTTTTTAAATTAGAAATATAAAAGTATCTGAAGTTTGTATTTTTTCTATATTTTTTGGAAGTAATAGTTTAGTTTAAAGTAATTATTTGAAATATTTTTGAAATAGTAATCTTCTCTCAGCCATTGTACTAAGTCTAATAGGTCTGTATCTTAGTCTTGCATGTTGATAAGGAAATGAAGTTTATATTTGCTGTTAAGGTCTTAATAGGTTAATAGAAGAGGTTTTCTTGAAGGTAGAAGGTTGAAATAGTTTGATAGAATAGTTGTACAGTCATATCAGTCTTATAGTCTTTTTTTATAAAATACTAGGTTTTATAATGCATTTCAGCTTGTGATTAGAAATAGGTCTCTTACAGTTGAATTTAGTTTTGATATATCTGTTGGCAAGAGTTTTAGTTTGATAAAGTATTTTTTTGATAATCAATCAAAATAAAAAATTTTATGTAATAAAGTAATAATAGCCTTTGTGTGTACATACTGGCTAATTGGTAACTTGAATAGTAATATTTGTATAATATTTTCAGGTATCTGCTTTGGGTTTGCAGAAAGAGGTTCAAGTTATATTGTAAAAGTTGTTTGAATTGCTTCTTGAATATCTTCTAATTTAACAAATACTTGTTCCTTCATAAATCTTCTATAATATTTGATTATTTGGTAAACTTCCTTGAAAGTTATTGTATTAAAATTTTTATTAATAATAAAGTCTATTATAATTTTTTTGGCAAAGTTTTTGATATATTAAGTCTCTGGTTGTTTTGTTTATAATAGTGATTGTATTTAGATTTTTGTATGCTGTTAATACTTTTTTGAAAAGTTCTTTATAAGCAGCTTAATATGAAAATATAAACTTTTTTGTTTTTGTAAAGATGAGGAAGAATGCAGTATCTAAATATTTAAATTTTGTTTTAATTGCAGAATGGATTATATGATTAGTATATTTGGTTTGAAATTTGTAGATCACAAATTTCATTATTCCTTGCTTATTTCAAAATAATTCTATAATTTTATTATAATTCTATTTAATAGCATTGAAAGGTTCAGTATTTTCTTTTTTGATATTTGGTTGAATGATATCTATTTATAGTTGGTTATAGTTTTGTTTATCATCAATTTATATGTTTTCTTCTGTTATAATATTTTATTTAGTTACTTAACTGTAGGTTCAGAGTCTAGACTCTATTTGATAACTAACTATTGTATCAACTGATTTAGTTTCTATTTTATTATTATTTTCTTCATTGTTATGCATAACATTTTGACTAACTGTTATTGTTTAGATGCTTTCTGCATGCTGGATAGTTATTTTATTATCATTTTTGTCAGTTAAAACTATATTTGTTTCTGTTTATATGTTATTATTATTATTTATAACAATATAGGACTGACTATTATAAAAAATAATTATCTACTCATTATTGTTGTCTGTCACATTGACACTTGTATTTCTAGAACCTGTTATAACTGATTTGTTGTTATTATTATTGTTGTGTGATGATATCATTGTATTTTCTAATAGAAATGTATCCAAATATTCACTTTTTGTATTATTTTTTGTTCTAGGAAGAAGTGTACATCTTTTTTTTGCTACTTTGTTAGTATAAGTCTTATCTATTTTGTTGTTAGTTTTGTCTTTTGGTATTTTACTTATTGCTTTGTTATTCATTGGTAATTGTAATTATGCTTGAAAGAAAAATTCTAATGTGAGGTTCTAAGACTATTGTGTGTTTTTTTTAGTTGTAGTAATGATCTCTTTATCTCTTTTTTTCTTAATCTTTACTTTGTTTGTCATTGGTATATCTATATTTAGTTACCAGTTGCTGCTACTAGGCTTCAGCTAAGCTTTTGTTGTATAATTATTTAATTTCCTTTACTTATTTGATGTTATATGTATCTAATTTTTTTTATTTTTTTAGTAAATTAGGATCTATGGGAAAGAGTTTTTAATTGTATCTATATTTTTTGCATTGAGAATGTTTTATTCAGCTAACAATTCTTATGTATCATAACCGAAAATTCAAAGACCCTGATGTTTGTCATGTCTTAACTATTTACTCATGAGATTTATGACACAGTTTTATCTTTATTTTCGGAAATGTCACTTTTCACCATAACGATATAATATAAAAACCTAAAGAAAATTAATTCTGGTTATTGTCATTAGATTCAGGCTAGAATTAGAGTTTAAGTTAGTGTAAATTATAAAAAAAAAAACTTATCAGTAAATAATTGTTTTTACAACTACTATTATACCTGAACAATATCTTTCTAAGAACGGTGTTCGTTTTATATAAGATGTGTATAATACTAATAAATCAATACTGGCGTTGAAGAGGATCTAATATGATTTGCAATTACGAAAGAGGAAAACAACTAAATGTATATGAAGATACAAGTAGACGTATAACAGTTTATTAATAAAACCTTGAGTTACTTATGTATGAAGGCACGATTACTCTTTATTATATTCTATATACTTGAGATAAAATGGACAAATAGAATAAAAGACTAATAAAATAAATATATAAGAAATAAGATATAATGTGGAATAGATATTATCGAAACCAATAAGAGCTTGTATTACTGCCGGGTGTCAAACGATGATCTTGGTCACGTGCTATTTTGTAATGGAGATCGACTTTATAAGGTCGACACTATTCAGGTTAATACTACCTAAAGCTACAGTTTATACCGATACAGTTTTATGTATTCAATTAGTATTACCAAAACTGGCTAAATTTATTAGTCGCATTTTCTGATGACAAATTAATTTAAAAACTTTATAATAAATCAAGAAAAATTCTTTTGCAACAGAAAGGAACTAAACTGCTGAAAATCAATAATAAGATTTCGTAAGATTCGGCGCGAAAATTGATTGACAAATATTTTTTTTAGAAGACTTGCACATCATCCAAAGTTATTAACCAATAAACACCAAATTTCCGAACACAATAAACTTGATTATCTCCAAATTATATTTTTTGGACTCTTTCTGTTACAAAGATCCTCACATTTTATTCCGTTTTTAATTGTAGATTTAGCTAATAATTATAACTATCTGACTCTAATTAGTGTTTCATTGATGATTTTTGCGGTTATGCTAGATGACTAAGTGTAACGATTTTATATAAATGGGGTTATTTTTGAAGTAAAATCAAATGTAGTCTAGTTCAAGTTACGTGTATTTCATTATCATTTATTATCGATTACACATTATACAACGCTTGTCTGATTAGCATTTTATGCAGTATTCATGACAATACAAAAAAAGGTTAAAAGAAATTAGAAACTGATTTTGGCTTGTCACATGATATACGTTGAGGATTCCTATTGGTTAATATATTAAAAAAATAATATATAATTTTGGATTCCCACTCTGCTGACCCGCCTGGTCCGTGAAAACACTATATATACGAGATAAAAAAAAAACTACAGTTTTCACTCAAAAAATCGTAAGTACGCAGCTTAATTAACAGAAAAGTTTAATAGCTTGTTCGTTAACGCTAAATAAAGAAAATAATATCCGAAATATTAAAATGTGTAAGTAACCTTAATTATGCTCATTATAATTATGAGGAAGGCGAAGTTTTAGTAGAAAGTGGTGAATTTAAATTAATTAAATCTACCAATCCAATCAATACGCCATCTCGGCCCATGGTGCTCAAAAGCTATTAAAAGATCTTGACGTTAATGAAGCAGGTAGACAAATTGATGTAGAATTAATAAGTAGAGCTCATAAAGGTCGTATAGTATTGATCGAACAGCAATGATACAATGGAAAACGGAAAACAAATGATGATCCATCTGATGTCCCTGAGAGTGCACCTCCTTTTGAACGTCAAGAATTATTAAATTCCACCAGAAGGCTTCTTGAATCTAAACGACTATAATTAATACCATATACCTTATATGTATAAATTATTATACATATAACTTACTAGTATTCACTATTAAATCTTGAAAATTTTATTGAATAGATTATTTTTTTAAAAGTTATACATAACTATAAGGTAGCTGTCGTGCAAAACCAGGAACGGGAAATATTAATAATAATAATTTTCTCAAAGACGACTCATAAAATTTTATTAATCAGTATAATGAATATCTATGAAGATGAATAGTTTGTTGATAAGATTTTATTATTAGCTAAGATATTGCATGACGGTAAATATTTACAATTTTGAATAGTTTAAAGCAATTCTTGAATGTGTGCCAGGTTTATGGCACTGCAGCAATTCTTTAAAGTTCGTTTATGTTAGGGTCAGGGTCAGGGTTGGAATCAGAGGAGAGTAGATTATATAGTAAAATTGTCCAACGAAAAGTATTAAAGGTAATTTCTTAGGCTGATTTTTGAAGTAAGCGATTCTTGATAAAACGGACGTTTGTTTTGATGTGTGCCAGGTTTGTGGCGCAGGTTTCCTGAACTACGAATCAGATTTCAAGATCAGGTGTTACGTAACACGATCAAAACAAACGTCCGTTTTATCAAGAATCGCTTACTTCTCAAAAATCAGCCTAAGAAATTACCTTTAATACTCTAATAAAAGTTTCGTTGGGCAATTTTACTATATGGGGTGTTTCACATTAAAAAGGCCCATTTTGCAATTTTTTTAAAAATGAGTTTTCATTATATTAATATAAATTTTGACATGACTGACATTTTTCAATTATATATTAAAGGCGATTAACATAATAAAAAATGAAGATAATGTAAAAGAAAAATTACATGAGGTTATCTAAGGCCAAGCACATCTCGAGATTACCCGATAGTCACCTGTTACTTTTAACCAATCAAAATCGTAAAATTTGCTTAATTCCGGATCAGTCCGAAAATCAAAACAAATGATTGCTGCGCCATAAACCTGGCACACATTCAAGAATTGCTTTGTTTTGATCGTGTTACGTTACTCCTGATCTTGAAATCTGATTCGTAGTTCAGGAAACCTGCGCCACAAACCTGGCACACATTCAAGAATTGCTAGCTTAAATATGTCAATTAGTAAAAGATAACTAAAATTCCGCGCTGAAAATTTTTATTGGAAGCCAAATAGTGGTTATCATAGTAAAATCTTGAGTTATTTATGATTTTTCTGTTTGCTATACATGATCGTGTGATTCTTAAAATCGAAAGAAAATAGCGATTTTCTAAAAATCGCATGTAGTTTATAATTTTGCTTATGAACCCATTTTTCGTGCTAATAAAAAAAAAAATACACTGTAAAATTTTGGCATAGGAACAGTTTTACTACCACTAAACCTATCTTAACGCTGACCCTTACCCTAAATTAATTCGTCAATAATAGTCTTGTTTTGATTTTACGTTATACCTGATTTTATGGGTTCATTACAACGTATATGTGAAAATGATAAAATGCATACTTTTTTTGTCATTAATTATTTAACTTTAGATCAATTAAAATTCTTACTGGGGTATACAAGACCAAGATTTATTGTCGTTTCAGGTGTGGGAGCCGGACATCACCTAAATTTAGTACACCATGGAAAGGTCTTCTACTCCACTTCAACAATCTGATCCAGACTTGTTTATAAACCGAAATCTTAATTGTAGTTATAAACCGAAATCTTAATCGCAGTTATAAAAATATTCTAATTCTGGATCGGATACCTTCATATTTAAGTAATATACTTGCTGTATATTTCGTGATTACTATACGTATTATCAATATATTCCTGTATTCGTGAAAAAATACATAACTTCTTAATGAGAATAATTAGGAGAGTGCAGTTTATTACATGATTGTCACGTCTATATATTGAATATAACTCTTGTGATTATATCACCTAGGAGGGACTTCTAATAAAAAGAAATTACATAATAAACAGCACACCCCTTAAAGTACGCATTTACAGTAAGACCTCTCTAAATGCAACTTCTAAATACAATTCTGAATCCTGACCAAATATATGCAATCAACACACTTGAAGTGCAACTTGTTAGGTACAAACTTTTAAAACATACATTTAGAAAATTGCATCTATAAAAATCAGGTATATATTCGGGTCAGGGTTTGGAATTACATCTATATAGGAAAAGTTTCACAGTACCTATTTCTCGATTCAGAATTTACTTTAGTGGACAAACATTAATTGTTTATTTATTTGTCTATTATTCGAGTTTACCAATATTTGCCATTAATTATTTAATTTGGATTTATTTAGCGGGTAAGCACAAAGACAAACCTTTTATTTAGATTATTTTATCCATATTAATTTGAGTACGTAAGCTTTTACTAATTTACATATTTAAATTATTCAAAATTGTAAATATCTCTTCTATTTAGGATTCTTTAAGTGGTCCTTGAAAAAATAATTATTATTAATAAAAGGGTATTGTAATTTATCGCAATAGCTACCCCTTATCGACCAAATGGAATGCAAGAACGGGTGTAACGTGAAATCGAAGCAAAACATTGTCTTTTTTGAATAATCGTCTGTAACTCAAGATTTTGCATATGAACCACCTCTTACGTCCTAATTAAAAAAATTATTTGCAAAATTTTAGATAAAAGGATCTTTTTCCTAAAGCCACGTCTAACTCTAGTCTAATGCTAACCCTAACTTTAAACTAACGCATTTTTATTATTGTTTTGATTTAACGTTTTACACTTGATCTTATAAGTGGCGATACATCGCATAGGCGAAAAATTATAAAATCCGTTAAAAATAGTCTATTCAATAAAATTTTCAAGATTTAAAATCCTAGTAAGTTATATGTATAATAATTTATACGTATAAGGTATATGTTATTACTTATAATCCCACATCTGTTTATATCCAAGAAGCCTTCTAGTGGAAGTTAATAATTCTTGACGTTCAAAAGGAGGTGCACTTTCGGGAATATCTGATGGATCATCATTTGTTTTCCATTGTATCATTGTTGTTCGATCAATACTATATGACTTTAAGAATCCATTATGAACTCTACTTGTTAATTCTACATCAATTTGTCTACCTGCTTCATTGACGTTAAGATCTTTTAATAGCTTTTGAGCACCATGGGCCGAGATAGCGTAACCATGGGTATTAATTGGATTAATAGATTTAATTAATTTAAATTCACCACTTTCTGCTAAAACTTCGCCTTCCTCATAATTATAATGAGCAATATAAAACATATCCCAATCATCTGGTAAAGCACGTCTAAGATCACTGACAATTCTGGAGATTTCAAATTCAATATCTACATCATCTTCCATAATTAAAGCGTTTTTATAACCATTTTTAATGATTTCTTTATAAATCAAATAATGACTTAAATAACAAGCTTTTTGAGCAATTGATATTCCAGCAAGATTATATTTACTGAGCAATTTTTTATCATATTTGGAAACGGCAGGGAAAAAGTCAAAATCTAAGCCAAGGAAATTAGCAATTTCTTGCATCATTTCACGTCTATCTATTCGATAACTAAGATTAATAACAAAAATATGATCGAAACCAAGGGTATTATTTAATGATCTGTATTTATTTAATTCTGAAGGAGATTGTTTAAGCGCAGTTGAAAAAAGAAAAGTGGCTAGACACACTAGCATAAAAAAAAAGATAATATAACATAGTTGTTTCTGTGTTTTTGTTCGTTGCATTTTTAGCTTCTGTGTAATATATAATGTGAAGAAAAATCTGTGTAATATGTAATATGAAGAAAAATAATTTATAGAAAAATACAGATTTCAAAAGATTATACTATAAATTTTATTAATGCAACAACATTTCTTTCTTAAGTAGAAAATATTCCTAAGCTAATTTTAAATTAGTTAAGCTTAAAATAATCATTTTGAAAAAATTATCAGTTAGGTCCCTTTTTCCAGCCCTAGCCCATATATTCGTTAGAGAACAAACTAATATATTTTTCTGCTAGTAAGGGTGCGTACATACGATTTTTTATGTTGTATATGTAGTGTTCCCAGATCTTCTATAGTATAGGTGGGCATATATAGATTAATTATGATTGTATAACGATTATATACTATATATCAACCGTATACGTATCTATAGCTAACAAAATGCTAAATTGTCATCTCTCTGTGATGTCGAGTATACAGCCTACTGGTTTTCAACGAAATGAGCCTATAACTGTATGATGCCAATTTATAACTAGCTTATATGAGAGCATTTCGCTCACATTCACAAGCATCCAGTGCATTATTATGTGCCAAGTTTCCTTTTAGTGAGCTAATTAGTGTCTAGTCGAAATATTGACTCTTATTATACTTTGCTCATTGTTTTACAAACTATCATCAATTATTGCATTTTGTGCTCCATTGAAAATTTCAGATCATTTCGAAATTGCTCTGTTGTACGTAGTGATTAAACTAAATTCGAGTGGGTCTTTACCTAATTTGGGGTTTAAGGATATATTTTTTATCAGGTTTCAAACAAATTGGAAATCTAAACTTGGGTCTTTCCTTTTTGCATATCCAAAACCTCTAAAAGATCAAATATACGAAACAATCATGATATCGATATTTTAATTGAATGCATTATGTATGTTGATACGTATTCGGTTATATTTTAATGTAAGTTTTGTTGCACATTTATGCAATATTGGGCACGCACTTATTGCGGGTAATACAAACTCCTAAAAGGAAACAGCTACAATTTTATTCATTCCGGATCAACAGGACTAATTATAGGAGGGAACGTTGATGTTACACGACTGATCCTTCACACATATAAAAAATTATTTTACAATACCAAATCATTTCGCTAGTACATGCTATTATTATAATCCAACACCATATTTATTACAATAAAATGGTGTTGGATTATAATCACAACATGTACTAGCGGAATGATATAGTATTGTAAAATAATTTTTTTATATGTTGCATACCGTGTGAAGGATCAGTCTGTAGCATCGATGTTCCGTTTTAGGTCCTCGTCACAACAATGCGTGCTACGTTTTGCAAATTATAATCTAAGGGTACATGGTGACGACTTGTAACGGCGAGTCAGTTGCTTCTCAATCGGATACTAGTGTAACCTACGAACGGGCTAAGTCGAAATGGGCGTGTTAGATTTGGCGAGTGGAGAATTTATGATTGTAGGTATTATGATGTAGTGAAAGCAGGGAATTATCATGAATGTCTTTCTTCGTAGGGTTCGATAGGGATGTTAATCGGTCCTCAGGGATCGAGTCCCAACCGATCCTTGAAAGGATCCGTAAGGACCCGAAGGATTCGGTCCTTAAATCACATGAAAAAACAATACATTTTATAGGACTTAGATCCTAGACCGAATTATTATAACAATACAAAATTAATTTGATTGGATGAACCTATTCGGTAGGATCTGATATAGGATTCAAATCCTGTATATTGTATTGTATTTTCATGTGATTTAAGGACCGAGTCCAGGATCGTCCTTTTAGATCCTAGGATCGGATCGGACCGGATTCGCAATTTAACATCCCTAGGGTTCGAGGCCTTTATTATATACTTTCTTTTACATAGGGCACATTATACACTCTATTCGTGATATATCACTTGTATTTATTATCCTGCATATACGACTTATACAGCGAATACAATGAATACTGCCGGTAAACCCATTTTAGGTAGATGATCGACATAGCCGTTTATTCAGCTCATATAGGATAACTTTCTCGTGATTGGTTATTTGTACAACATGTGACAATCAACCAATCAAATTACATAATTATATTGTAATTCGCTTCTCACTTCCGCAATTTAATAAAGAAATATATTTTTTAAAATGCCTATCGCACCTTTTACACTAAACTAATGTAATATTTAAGGATTTATAGTTTATTATACTCAGAGCTCATTATGATAAGACTCATAAACCTTGTAGTAATCTTTATACATATACGTATATATAGTTTGAACACTCATATTATGAACTCTATTCTTATAGATTAAAGTTCTCTACATTTTAAACCTCTTTAACAGAGCTTAGAAATAGTTTTATCTATTTTTAAAAGAAACATATTTACTGTTAAATAACCCAGCTATTTGGTAATTACATATGGTCCTATAGTTGCAATATATGTAGAAATTTCACTTTCTAAGTAAGGTACCTCTAGGTGTGGGATTATTTGGGATTATTTTGCATAGTGACTATTGGCGCTTCTTCGAAGAAAGAGACGGGTTTAATTTTATTTTTTGCTTGTGAAATGTTACATTCTTAAAAGTACTTTAAATTGTATAAATACAATTGAAAGTGATTGACCAATCCGAAGAAAGCTATCCTATATCTATAGCTTACAATATCATCATAAGAAGCCTAAATCGTTTTGTTCGAGAGTCTTCGGAAAATATTATTCTTTTTAGCATACAGTCTTATTTCCTCGCTCACTTTTTGAGGGTCCTTTAAAAATCTCATTCTTGTATTACTTCAAAATGTCCGACATGTCTAAATTTTAATAATCTTTGGACTTTTGATGTACGTATTAGTACCGTACGCCACCGACTAAAGGGATTTACTTATTTGTGCCGGTAATACAATCCAAAAAAGGAAATTTGATTTTATAAATAAACAAAGTGCGTAAAA